AGATGCACCCTTGCCGGTGAGCACGAGGCCCGGAGTAGGTTGGCAGGTAATGAAATAGTGCATGTTTTGTGCTTGAAGTACTCTAGGGAAGCTCTGAGATCATCCTGCTGTGCCAGCCTGTGCACAGGAGCTTGCTAGACAGACATTATTTAAAACAAGCATCATTACAAGTATGTGCAGCAGATGGCTTGAGGTAGCATGCATTATTGCTTTTGTCGACCACAGGCACACCTAAATGGGTTTTCAAGAAGCCACATATGCTTCTGGCATGTAAAACTTAAATCTTTTTGTAGAATCATTTCCAGAATGTGAGTCTGAGATATGTTGGGCCTCTAGATTATTGAAGGCTGGTGTTCTGCTGTCTTTCACCTAAAAGGAATTTGAGGCATGTGAAGTACTTTTGCGTTTCAGGAAGGCAAAGGTTTTGCAGCTCTTCTCAGACATCCCCAGCCTCTGTCTTGATAAAGTGAAAGACTACTTAGGTGATGGAGAAGACTATTGAGCTTGTCAGTTCACTTTGTACTGAACACAGCCTGGAAGGAGCTGCCTTTCGAAGTAGTGCTGAATGACTGATGGGACAGGCTTTTTTCAGTGCTTTCAGCATCCTTGTTTTAATTTTTCTGGTTTGCTGCCATCAGATGGGAAAGGGATGTTTGCAGATGTCAGGGAAAAGGGATGTTAGGTTTGCTTGCTGGGAAAACTTCATCATCATCAACATCAACAACCAAACAGTGCAGGAGAAGCAGCACCTTAGGGAATGAGCTGTCTAGAAGTTGAAACTTGGAGAGGCAGTTGCCTGTCTGGAGAAAAAAATCTTGAGCGTTTGCATTTCTAGGACTGGTGTTTCTGGAATGTTTCAGAGCTAGCGCGAGAAGCAGCACCTTAGGGAATGAGCTGTCTAAAAGTTGAAATTTGGAGAGGCAGTTGCCTGTGTGGAGAAAAATATCTTGAGTGTTTGCATTTCTAGCTTAGGTCTGGTGTTTCTGGAATGTTTCAGAGCTAGTGTTGAGGGCCCATTGCGAAGTGCAGGGTTTTGAAAAGGTTTTGTATGTGCCAGGTTAATAAAGTGAGTGAGCATGTTGGTGGCTTCCAATCATCAATCAAGCCTATCCAGGGGGGGGGGGGGTTGGTGCCTCCAAATCACAAAACAAGCCTATCCATTGAAAATGAATGGAAAATAACCTTGCCTTCAGCCAGTCTCACTAGTCAAACATCTCACTATACTTTGCATTTCCATCAGATGTGATGAGAAACATAGGCATCTGCCAGCCTGCCTAGAGGAAGCGGACAGGATCGTTTAGCAAGGCTAGTGGTAAAATAAATGTAATTGTGTTAATATGAAAAGAGAACTGTCAAAACTATTCACTGCATGCAACTTGCAACCATTCCCCCTAGTTCTGTCACTAATTACCTGTATGCCCCCGGTTAATAAAGTGAGCGAGCGAGTTGGTGGCTTCCAATCATCAATCAAGCCTATCCATAGAAAATGAATGGAAAATAACCTTGCCTTCAGCCAGTCTCACTAGTCAAACATCTCACTATACTTTGCATTTCCATCAGATGTGATGAGAAACATAGGCATCTGCCAGCCTGCCTAGAGGAAGCGGGCAGGATGGTTTAGCACGGCTAGTGGTAAAATAAATGTAATTGTGTTAATATGAAAAGAGAACTGTCAAAACTATTCACTGCACACTGGAGAGGCTATCTAGTCTAGTGCTTGCACCTACACCTGTTTTTTAAGCTAATAGGTACAGAGGCTTTTTCCTAGGCTAGCAGAGTCCTGCGTTAGGTTCCCTCCCTTCTGCCAAAGCTGTGAGTGATGCTGTGTCACATGGAGATGGGTCCATCTGCAGTTTTCAAAAGGAGTTATTGTGACTAAACTTATCCTCAAAGGGGTTGCAACTCCACAAGTTAAAAAAGTGTCATTGCACACTAATTATGGATTACATGCTGGAGTCACAGCAAGGTCATATTGCTGCTTCAGTTTCGGAGAGATGGGCCCTGCTGACCTGTGACCCAAGTACAATGTTCCCTGTTGCTGGCAGGAGAGAGAGAGATGAGACTGAGTTACCACAGATCGGTTATGGTACGCAGACTATGGGAGTGCGTGGGAAAGATGATCGGGAGGAGCTAACCTGTTGTCAGGCAAAACAAATTCACCACGGGGGGAGAACGTAAAGTTTTAAAGCCCCTGCTTTCAGTTGTGTGGGCACTGCAGCACCACACGTGTACGTACTGTTTTAGATACACGTTCCTCAGGCTGGGCTGGGGGCAACACAGCAGCAGCTGGATGAAGTGTTAACACTGAGAATCAATTCCAGGTGCCTCTTCTACCTTCTTCTGCCTGGCCTTTTGGCTGGCTCACTTGTGCTTGAGCGCTTTACCTTCTGTGCTGGGGCTACATTTAGAACTACTTTCTTAAAGCCCACAGGGTTATATATATGAGTAGTCAATGTTCAAGTAGGCTGTCGCCAAACTTTGTTTTGGTTGTGGCATTAAAAATGTACCATGACTTACTTCTAAAGGCAGTTATCTGAAAAAGCCACCTGAACTTTCAATTCACCCATCCGGGTGACTTTATACATATCCTGAGTAGATCGTATTCTTTAAAACCAAACAAAACAGCTGTTCAAGAATGGAGAACAGATGTGTTGAGCACTTCAGGCCATTTATTATTAGTGAAGGTTTTTTAAGCCTTCTTGTTGCCTGGGTATCTTTTAATAAACAACCAGGTTTCTTCCTCCAAATTGTACCATTTTTTTGTTTATGATCACCATTTCAGCACTGAAACTTTTACTAGGTGTAAAACAGAGCTTTGGTTATGAGTCTGATGTAGGCAGAACCTAGAGATGAATTCCCGGGGGACGATGAGGGGAGAGGCATTTAAGACTGTGGTATCGTCCTGGACTGGTCTGTCACTGCAGGTAGGTGTGTGAGAGAAGCATTTACAAGCATGTTTTGCTCAGGTGAAAGCCTGAGTGAGACTGTGGTGATATTATCCAGGAAGCTCAAAGTACAAGGATGAAGTTTCTGTAGATACTGTGAGGGTGTTTATCCAATTTATGTCTTTGTGTAGAGTTTATTTTTGTTTCCTTGTGCAGAGGTAGTTAACAAATTAACATGCACTGCACTGTAGTCAAGTTTTGCGTAAGCGAATTACAAGCAGTAAGAACTTTTGATGTGTGGGGAAACTTAGGAAGGATATCACCTCTAATTGTTTTTCTTGAGGTTGTTTTCTGTGTCTTGCTCTGAATATTGATAATTCTTTGGGACCCACCTTGCCCACATTCTCTACAGTGCATGTCCTAGGGTCTTCCTGCCTCTTTGTGCAATGAAGACAAAATTGACAAACTAGGACAAGATAAAGATGGGCCTGAGGTTCTTGTGGCTATCTCCACTGAGGTTTTGTTCCCTTTTTGGTGTCCTGGGTTAGGTTCTCTGGATTTTCCATCCTGCCTCTTAGAGTTTTCGTTCGCCCATAGTTTGACTCCTGTTTCCAAGAGGTCAGCAACTGAATGACCTCTGATCACACTTGCAGCCACTTGAGACATTAAAATCCCTAATGACATTGTTACCACAGACAAAAATTTCCACATTTTGTTTCTCACATGAGAGACTTGTGGGTTTCTACCTGTACTGGAAGAAACTCTCGCTCCTCAAATTGTTATCACACAAGGCACGTGAAGGGTCTGACATAGCCTAAGATCTTGATGGTACTTTAGGACCCAAGTCCATCCAGATGGAAGGAAAAATACTGGGTAGCAGGCATGTCATGGAAATCAGGACTAGAATGCCTCTGGTTTTAAGTATCCAAACTGCTACAGATAACAAGATTCTGGTTTGTCTGGAGGAGGTGTTTGGATCTGTCCAACCAGGACAACCCTGCCAGGTTTTTTTCTTGGAAACCGGTAAATGACACAAAAGCTGTTTATTTCATATTTTCCTGACAGACTCAGTTAAAAAGAACTCTAAGCTTCTTGAAAGCTTTACCTCACCATCTTCCTCCTTTGTGTTTTATAGTCACGGAAACAAAGAGGTGTTCTCCTGCTGGGGCATCCAGCTGGCAGTAGATTGGTTTCGAGAGAGGGGGCACACGTACATCAAGGATTTTGTCCCACTCTGGAGAAAGGACCCCCCTCGGCAAGACAGTCCCATTGCAGGTAGGTTACCATCCTGAGTGTAGTTTGGCACCCATCAGGTGCAGTCTGGAGAGAAGGGGTGTGAAGAGCCCAGTGCAATTTTGCCCTGTAAAGATAAGCACAGCACAAACTGTGTATCAGATTTGCATCCCTTAACGTAGCCATTAATTTACTGCCACACGCTTCTGGCTAGCAGCTAAAACTGCTTGTGAGACTTTGTTACACTGCTTTGAGCTTTCTGCTTTACAAACACAGGTTGCTGCCAGTTGAGTTGAAGAAGTCTGTCAACTTGTAATGAGTCTACAGAGCTTTTAAGGCCAGCCAGGAGATGACGACATGGTTGCACACATTATCCAGAGGTGGCAGTATCCAAAACGTGCACTACCACATGACTGTTACCTGTTAGACTGTTACCCCAATATAGGAGCTACATGGATTCCTCTTTCAGGAGGAGGAAATGCACCAGCTGAAGTCTGTGAAGGGTGGTGAGGTGCAGTTTGTATGGAAACAGATCTGTCAGATTTGTGTCAGCAGCATGGTGTCTGCAGATGAGGTGGCTGGGGATGCATCTCTCTGCATAGTGACAAGAAGTCAGAGTATCCTCAACAGCAGCGAAATATGTTTGTTTATTTATTTGATCAGGCACATTTTATCATAGAATCGTAGGTCATCTAGTCCAAACCCTTCTAGCATCTAGTGGGGTAAAAAGGGCGCTACAGGGGTCCAGTATGCCTCTGGTGTGGGACTCAATCTATCCTTTTAAAGATAAGGCTTAAAAAAATCAAAAAAGTGTGGCTTAAATTTTACAAGTAGGTGCTTTTGTAAAAGACCTAATTTTTATGTTGCCAAATAACCATCAGATATCAGTGCATCAGAAAAATCACACCACTGTAAGCTGCCTACAGTGATGAAGTATCTTTAGATTCCTGTAGGTTTCTAGCATGATTGAAACCTTGTAATTATTAATTAATTAGTTTTTATTTTTTAAAACTTTTTTCCCTTCTATTTCTGCCAACTGCCCCACAGATCAGCATATTCTTGAAGAGCTTGAAAAGCAATCGATCCTTGTGTACACCCCATCCCGAAAGGTGAAAGGCAAGAGGGTAGTTTGCTACGATGATCGCTACATAGTGAAAGTTGCTTATGAGAAAGATGGGGTCATTGTTTCCAACGACCACTATCGGGATCTCCAGAATGAAAATCCTGAGTGGAAATGGTTTATTGAGCAGCGACTACTTATGTACTCTTTCGTCAGTAACAGGTAGGTTGCTGTTAAATGGTCTTCAATTTAAACATTATGGGCCAAGTCAGCTCCAACACCAACGCACCTCCCACCAGCAGCAGAGTACATGAGCCTTTTTCTAAAAGGATTTTACCACAACTTTTCTTATCTCATTTCTCTAGTTCCTGCTTCCTCAGCTTTGGTCTTGAATGCCCCCGCATCACTCTTCAATGAACTTATCTATCTGAATGGCACCACTAGTGGCCAGCTTTGCTTCTTTCCAGTCCAAACAGGGATGTTAAACCAAGGCTTGGTGTATTTTAATTTCTATTTCCTATACAAAACAGAATCCATGAGAGGAGGCTGGCTACGTGGGAGCATTTTTAATTGCCCTACAAGGCAGAACAGCACTTTTTCCTATGCTTTTGTAACTGTAACTTTTCTAAAATAAGAGCGATGAGAAGCTGGTCTCTCTGGCCCTTAACCACCCCCATTGGGGAAGGTTTTCATGATGGCACTTACACGGTGCCCACAAGGCTAAGCCATATGCTTCTCAGTCTGCACATGCTAAACTTGTCGGAGGTTCCTAGTAGCAGAGGTGATCATTAGCCCTCGGTTTGCCTGAGGAAAAGCCCTCAGAGGCATCCAGTGTGCATGGGTGACTGCAAGCGGAGCAGCTGCCTCACACGGCAGCGGTCTCCCACCACCAAAATTAGATGGGTGTCCTCAGCACTGGGTTTCAGTTTCCCTGTAATACTGTTCACAGAAACACAGTTCCTGAACATAAGCATACTGTGTTTGTGGAAGCTCCAGTCCATTATCTCCAACTACCACCAGGCTTCTTCCAATGGGTTACAAATATGTATATGAAATTCTCCTTCCTATTTCATAGGGACTGCCAGACCTTTTCAGAAGCCTTCTCTCAGAAAGTCTAGCTGTTACTGTGAAGCCGGTTTCAATAGTTTCAATAGGACCTTCTTGCACAGCTTTGGGAACCTCTCTAAAACCACAGGCTGAAGTTGGAGATTTCAGTCTGATATAATGTGGATAACCAAATTCCCTTCCCCTCCTGACCATGACTCCCTTCATCTGACAGCGAGTGGGTGCAGTGCAGATTCATTTATAAACAAGTCCAGAGATGCTAATTAGTTTTCTTTCTGTAACATCACATTCAGGTACTGGCATCAAAGAATAAAGAGTCTTATCTAAGCATTCGTAGCAGGAAGCCTTTACTGAATCCTGGAAAAAAAGCTGGACCATGCGCACAATTATCTGTAGCTCTGAATGAACTGCTGGCTTTTTAATCCTCATTCTCCTACAAGTATTTAGTGAGTTTGCTGTTCAAGGGAGCTGATGGTGAGGATTGCAGTGCCAGGACTACAGAAAATTTGCCACTGCTGCTGCTGCTTTAGAGGAAAAGGAAGCGATGCTACTATGGCTGGGGCTGCTGGCTGGCCAGAGCTATGCCAAGCCACCATGCTTTTCCAGTTGTTTTATTTTATTGGGAAAACCCAACAACTTAATGAAGCTGAAGCATTGTTGTCTTGGTAGGCAGGAGGACACCGTGCCTAGTAACACAGACTGACTCCTGAAGGCCAGGCCACAAAAGGGTCACAAGGTTTTTCTGCCCCAAGCTTGTGCCACAATCTGTGATGGCCCTTTAGCTCCAAAAGCTCGAGGTATTTTTATTACCCCTGTGACTTTTTCCTTTTTCAGGTTTATGCCTCCTGACGATCCCTTAGGCCGGCATGGACCCACCCTTAATAACTTCCTCAGCAAAAAGCCAGTGCTTCCTGAACCAAAATGGCAGCCTTGCCCCTATGGTGGGTTTCTTCCCGTGCTGTGAACTGCTGACCCTCTTCTTCCTGCTCCTTGCTTCCCAGCGCTGCTTTCCTTTGGCTAAGGGCAAGCAGCGTTGCCATGTGCTGTCCTGCTTCATGGGGTAGGGACTTGGGTCAGGGCTGCTCAAATGTGTGATGCTTCCTTCCTCTTCTGCTCAAGTGGCTTCAGCCTCAGCAAAGGCAGCGGCTCTTTCTGGCTCCTCCATCTGTGCCTGCACACAGCACCCAAACCAGGTACCATGGCTGTGCTGACCCCCAGCCTGTACACACTTTGCAGAGAGGACTTGTATTGTAGCTCTTGGGAAAGGCCACCCAAACATTTCCCCTCTCTCGCCTCCCAACAGCTTTCCAGCAATGTGCAGATTGCTCAATGTAAATCCTTAACTTTTTAAAGCAGCTCTTTGTAGCAGCAGGTCTCCCAGCCCATCGGAACATAAATGAATTTCAGACATCTCTAAAATAGCAGAGACTTCCTTCCCCTGCTGCTTCACCCTGCTATTTACGTCAGCAATATTTGAATCTGGGGTCAAAAGTACTGAACTGGAAAACAGCACTTCCCGTTTTCTCTGTTTGGTCTCACCCTAACCCATGCAAATGCACAGTGCTGGGGAGAAGTGATGAGTACGTTAATCAACATGGGTGCTAGTGATGATCTCCTGTTTGATTTTTGATCCTTTCAGGTAAAAAATGCACCTATGGCAATAAATGCAAATTTTACCACCCAGAGAGAAGACATCAAGCTCAGCTCTCAGTTGCCGATGAACTCAGGGCCAAAATAAAGGTTCCGTTCAGCGTGGGGAAAGAGGAGGAGGAGAAGTGCAACCACTCACTCTACAGGGCTGGAGGAGAGCCTGCACCCTGTGACGCCTGCACAGAAACACTGCAAGAAGCCAGCGGCTCCGCAGGGACTTCCACCTACCCAGGGTGGTCCCGGGGGGGCTGTCCTGAGCAGCCGGGCAGTGCCTGGGCTTGTGGCCCCGGCTCTGAACTGGGGCCAGACCAGCGGTTGCTACGGCAAGAGCTGCTGCCAGACCAGCCTCTCCTGGAGATGTCAGCACTATCCATCGGTGACAACACCTACTGCTACAACTGGTCCACAGATACCTCTCAGGACAGAGAGGTGACAGACAGCCCTCAGCACTGTGGTGCCTTCAGACATAACCCACACTGGCTTCATCACCACCATCACTTGGACAACACTCGCTTACCGGGAAGCTCTTTCCAGCAAACGGTGCTCCCGTCTGTCCGGGGCAGGATGCTTCCAGGCCACAGCTGGCCTCAGGAGTGCTGCGGCATGCACAGGGTGGGTCAGAGGAGCCACTATGGTCCTGATGGTGCTCAGCACAAACAGGCCTTGGAGAGTCAGCCCCATGTTTTGGTGCAGCCCACGGCACTTCCCTCTGACCCACCTCATTTGTACAGTGAGTGTCAGCTGCAGCACCAGCAGC